TATCACACCCTGATTTTCACAATTACCAACTTTTAGAGAATAAAAGAAAAATAGAGGGCTGGCTTGTGTCAGTCATACCAGAAAATAAATGTAGAGACGGTGAAAAGAATGAGCTAAGATCCCTACTCTGGGCCTAATTCCACTCCTAGAGTGCTTTTTAAAATACCAGTAGTGTAATAGCATTGTCATCTGAAGGAGTTATGTCTGGTTTACACAGAGTGAAATGGGAATGAGCAGTCCTTCCATCTAAGAATCTGAGGAACTATTTTTAGTGTTAGGCTAAAGGTAAGAAATGACCCTCCCTTTTCAGGAAGGAGGAGAGGTAAATCATTCTGATACATTTGGAATTTTTGCTACACAATAAGTATAAACGATGATATTCTCTCACTCTGCTTGCCTAAAATAGAGTTGCGTGAATAACTGATATTTCAGTTCACTGGCAGTAAAGGAAATGGTAAAAAAAAATATTCAGGTGAACCTGTAACATGGTATAGCCAAGTATGAAAGTATGGGATAGAACAGAGGTGCCACTGATCTGCAACAGAATTTATATTAACGTGTCCAATTTGTATTGGAGCTGCATCCATTCGGCTTCAGGGCCCTGATGTGTTAGCACTGGAATTGTTTTGATGGGGAACATAATGAACACCCCATTATGTTTTACCTACATTAAAATAGGGGTTACAGTACTACCAATGAGCTAACAAGCATATGTGGTCTTTAGCGAAAGGCTTAAAAATTGTGCTGGAAATCTAGAGCATGCTTTAAAAGACGCGCAATTACTATAGTGTTTTAATTAGTATAGCATTGGAGATGGTGCTTAGTGCCGCTTTGCCGTGCTCATGAAAGGGACTGAATTAATACCATGCACACGTGCAATAAATCATTCTTGAATCTGAAAGCATTAAATATTTGTAAATTACAAGTTGCTTTAATGTCTTCTATTGTCATAGGACCTCTCCTCCATGCCACTCAATCAGAGGAAAAAAAGGAGCTATGCAGTAACATCCTTTATTTCTCTTTTCTCTAAAATAACAAACTCTGCTTTACTCTGCCGAGCCCTCACAACCCTATTACACATATCTTCAAGACACAACACCTTTATGGATTTTTATTCACTGTCATACTCATTCACTGGCTTCAACATAGCGGGTGAGATCCTCCACATGTACAAAATGGCCTACTTCCCCTGGCATTGATGAAGCTAGATACATTTATGCCAGCAAAGTATCTGGCCTTCTATCTTCAGAAAGGTTCTTTTCCCAAGTATGAATGACAACCAAGATAATCTTCTTAGTTTATTTTTCTAGAGTCCTTAGCATGCTACATTAACCTGACAATGTTTAATCTTGTGTTCATTTCACAATACATTTCATGCAATTCACAGCTGTAATTGGTTTTACACTGACATTACACGTTTTGACCTATCCATGTGAAAAGAATAATTCTTAATATTATTTGTCTCTAAAAAGTGTCCAAGCTTAAACAGCACAGAAGCAGTTCACACTAATCCTATGTGCAGTAAGTCTTTTTTAATGCATGGATGATTATTGTCATAGGAGTATAAGGTCCCTGTTTTAGTCCATTTGCAACTGAACTACTTTTGTTTGATTTCTTGTGTCCTGAGGAATCCTCTCTTATAAAACAGCATTCAAGTATTCTATTTTAACATTCCCGGTTGTCTGAGTTAAGGAGCAAGGCAGACCATCAGTTTTAGATTCCATTATAAATGTTCCATAGTCCCACAACTATTCTTAGCGTAAGAGTCTTCTTTTGTAATGAACATTCAGCACTAAAGTATAGCTATTTGGCATTATCCAGTGAAGTGCAAGAAATTAAATAAGTTATGTCTTTATTGCTAAAGTACAGTACACCAAGCAAAGTCATTTTTTTATTTAATTGCAAGAAGTTCATAGGGAATGCCTCCCTCTTCTTGATGCCCAGTAGTTCAGCTGCTTTGCAAATATCATTTAGTTATCACATATCAACTGTCATTCTAAGACGATGTATTGAGTATTCTAGAGTCTGAAGAATCAGATCTTTCATCATAGTCATCTTCTGTATAAATAGGCTGTTTAGACACAATTGGACATCCATCATCAGGGATTGAAATCCTAGGATCTTCTGACGAGCGTGAAGGAAGGACAGGCGAACTTCGGAAGACAGTGGTAGAATTACTAGAGAAAGGGCTGACGTACTGGGACCTCAGCTGGTACTGCTGCTGCAGCGTCATGGTGTTCCACAAAGTGACATCATTAGGTAGAAAAGGACTGGACTGGTTTCTTGCCAAAGTATTCCTCAACATCAGTGGGTATCGGGGTGGTTGTGGGAAAGGGTGCTGTAAAGGTACAGCCAAAGGATTTGGCACAACATTACTAGAATCGGTGGAAAATCTCAGTGTGTCTGGAACTCTAAAGGCTGATCCTACAGACCACTTGGAAGAGGAAATAGGATATGAACTCAGTGTGTGTTCAAAAATGTGCCCATTGGAAGGCAAAACAAGACCATCAGATTCCGCAGAAGTTCTGTCCCCACTGGCTACTGACGATCGGCTGGACAAAAGGACTTCAACAGCACTCACCAGATCGCCCCCACAGCCCTTCAAGATTAATTCAAGCACAGTCGGCTTTTGGTTGGGGAAGATTTTTTTTAACACTTCAAGTGGAGGTCTGTTGGCCTTCAAACTGAAAGGGAGAGAAACTGTCCCCGATGGACCTTCTATCAGGAGATGATTCTGTTCTGCATGATATTTGGGACTGTCTGGCCTGCTCTCTGTGCTGCCACCGTTTTTCTGTACTGCATAACCTCCTTCGTCTACTGACACTGTTTCAGGGCTCTCGGGAGTGAAGCAGCTTTTGGCTTTTGTCGCATCTGGGGAACTCCTTTGGTCCGTGTCTTTGTCACTGTAGGTCTCAGCATTGTCTGTTCCGCTCGTGTCCCCCAAGCGTTCCTCACCCACATCTGTAAAGCAGAAGGCAGTTGGATTAATCCATTCAGCTAGCCCAAACCCCTTTACATGCATTACACAAATGAAGCAGGAATCTAGGAATCTAGCAAAGATAAGAATCACCAAGGTTTTTGTTATGCCAACTTTATGAATCTGTACCTAAACCCATCTATCTCTGCCGTGCCAAATGATAAAATACTAGTACTCAAACTCATGCAGAATTCTTTAATGGAGACAGTTGGTGTCCACTATGCAAATTACACCTTCTTGTAAATAGTCTTTCTACAATACATAGCCAGAGAATGGGCATAGTAGACTAAACTGCTGCTGGATATTAGATTCAACTTCTTTGCAAGTGGCCATAAAGAAAAACAAAAAAACAGATCACCTGAAAGCCAGCCTTCCATCCAGGAAGAGCACACACCAACTGCTGAAACTTCATAGCCTGACGAAGGGTTTTTGAACCCAAAAGCTTGCTTAATAACTTTTCTCCAACTATTTGGGTTGGTCTAATAAAAGATATCAAATTCACCCAAGGAACCATGTCAGCCTTCCATACAGGCATTTAAACACTTTAAAGATCAGTAATTTTTAGAACTGAATCTTGTCCTTAGTGACTGGACTGAGTGTTGAAGCGGGGACCCAGCAGGTCAAGTCACCTCCACCAAGCCAAACTACATTAGTGGCACTCTTCAATGGCAGCCTATCTAGATCCCCTGCATCGGCTCTCTGACATCAATGTCCTCGCCCCCAGGCAGTGGACCATGCTATTCCCACTCTGTCTGTGGTGGGGAGGGGTAGGATTGGTCCCATAGGTTTTGGGAGTTCTAGTTAGGCTGTGATTTATAAGCTTGTCATTGTACCCTGCAGAGGAGGAAGCCAAGAGCTTATTGCTGCAGGTTAATAGGCATGTGTAGACGGGCCTGCAGAACAGAACTTGACTCTCTGCAGAGCTCCATGGATTTAATTGGGACTGTGTTTTAAGCATATTGCTGTTACTGAGGGTGAGGCACGTGGAACCTGATTCCCATTATCATTTTTTAAATAAACACTATGCAGAGCACTAAAACGTTTTGTTCTGAGGCCTCATTTTAACAAGGCCAACTCACTTATCAGCCCTCTTAGAACGGGAAGCAGCACAGACAGTGAAATGCACTGGAGCTGCAAAATTATACTACTAAGCATTGATTCAGAACTATGAACTACTTAAACAGATCTGAGATAAACAAGTAGGAGTGTCCCACTGCACACTGCATAGCATGTCTTCCCTAGTAGTCATCTGGACAAGGAAAGTTAATTTTGCCAGAGTGCTGATTAAGTGTTTTATCAGCCAGCTCAACACCTGAGATGCACATGCAGTTCTCATCCTTCTCATTCCACTCAGAAGCGGGGGAAAGAGGTATCATCCTCTGCCTTCCTACATCCCTAGATAAGGAAACAGGGCCTAAGTTATATCCTTTGGAGTATACTGTCAGGAAGGGGGGAGATTCTTGGGATTCACAATGACCCTCCATTGGCCTAAGGATACCCCCAGAGCTGCAGCTATATTATGTTTTGTCGTCACGTGCAATCATGCACACAGGCTCATCTGCTCTGAGAAAATCTCGCTTTTCAGGGTTCTATGAACAGACATAACAAGACCTGGAAGGAGAGACTCTGGGGCCCCAGAGTCAGGCCTGAGACCCACATGCTGCACCTTGCTAAGTATCATCAGTCCTCCTAGTTTTCCTAAAGCTCCTGAGATCTGCATCATTCATTCTGCAGAGGACCAACGCCCTACAAAGTGTAACTCAAAAGGAATTTGACAAGGGAAAAGTCCTTGTGTAGATTTCATCCCCCATCCTCACTCCTTCAGAAAATCTAGCATATGGGGAAACCCCAAGAATAGTCTAGCTATTTTTAAAGGTTGTAAAACAGATATTAAAAAGCAATATAAGGCCAGGGCTTTACCGTATTTTGCTCTATGATATAGATTATGAACAGGAGAAGTAATAGTTGTATGTGCCATTAAATAATGCAGGAAACTATGTTTGCGCATTTCCTCCATGCTCTCAGCATGTCATTCCCGCTATAGCAGTAAAAGGGGAAGGTGGGGGACAGAAAATGTTTCCATGAGTAAATATACTCCAACAAGCCAAACCCCTATAAACATTTTTAAATTGACGTAAGTTTGCTCATAGAAACTATATGTAGACCAGCCATTAATTACTATGGAAGAAGACTATCTACTCTCAATCCTACCCTGCGTGCCTAGCACACAGCTGCCATGCACCTATTTAGGGTTCTGATCCTAAAGACTCCATGCGCAGCTTCTGTTTAAGTCAGTGGAAGCTTCACATGTGAAAGGACTGCCGGACTCGTAGTCTGAAGGTTAAGAAGCGACTGCAACTGTAGCCATTCCACCGTAATTTCCTGTGGGAAAGCACTTGAACATGAACTGATCATGCTATGGTGCCCAACATTACCAGGTAACTGATATGCGAGTAGATATATTTCAGAAATATTTGTTTCCAAAATATATTTACTGCTGTTTCCATTTAGCACAAGGCACTGTGTAACATAGCAAATAGACATTAAAAAATAGCATAATACATTGCATCTCCTAAATCAGGGAAATATGGCCTCTGTCCTGAAAAAATATTACTTTCAGGGTTTTATTACATTTCTTTTTTTAAATAACATTTGTTAATACTCGCCTTTTTAAATTTGGCTAAAAATGATTTTTAAATTCTAGACATTTAAATTCTAAAAATTAAGCATATTTAAAAGAGCCAAAAGTTCACACACACACACACACACACTGACTTCAAGAACATCAGGATACTTCCGCAACCCACTTCCCTATATAATCCTCACTCTTAACTACGTATGTAAGCTAATGATTACTAAAACATCCACTACATTAGCGTGTGTGTGTCTGTTGGGGAGTGGGGCAGGAAGGATACACGTCTCACAAGATCAACAAAAATGGATTTTGATTATGTAAATGAACTAGGGATAGATTCGCTCCTTATTGGCACTAGAGCCCAGTGACCCTATTTAAACTTAGTAAATATTTAGAAAACAATATATAGCAAAGCTGGCCGAATGTTAATAATAACATTTTTCTCTGCCTGGATGTCAGTTGGAAACCTCTTTTCCTGCTGAACTGAACTGGATGGCATACACCAACTCACCTACCCCAAAGTCCCGGCAAGATCACTTGGATTTCTTGTCTGGAAGAATATTTGTTTATTTTGTGTAACTCATCTGAGCACTGATTTCCCTGCCAACCTACAAATGGTGTGCAGGTGGGACTAGGCAAAGAAAATGTCCTGTTGGCTCTTTCCTACATTTCCGCCTTTTTGAGGTTAGATTTTCACTAACTTTCAATGAGCAGAGAATAACAACTGACAAATAACCAGGGAGCTGGGAAAGACAAACAAACCTATACAAATACATTCCGGATGCTAAAATGTAGAAATATGACTTGCTGAGCCACCACACTTAGCACATTCATTTTGCATTGCTTCCAAATACTTCACAAGCTTCCACTATTGAAATACACATTTCGTTAAAAATAAATGTATTCTTTGTTCTAAGACCGCTGTATCTTCCTGTAATACTTACTAACTAAAGGTGGTCAGAATTTTATAGTAACTTTATAGTAAGAAACCTTGGGCTCAGACAACCATTTAGTACATTTTAAATAAAATGTATACTGGTTCTCACTGAATGTGGTTATGGCTCGCATCCAGTGAACTTTTTGCTAGCCTTGAAGAAATTAAAAAGAATTGGTTTCCTCATTTATGCTATGTATGGTGAACTGCTATAACATATCACATACACAAACTTTATAGATAAATACAGGTATAGATAAGATGAATAAAGAATATAGATATCTCTATACATAAGCATATATATTTAATTATAATATTTCATGTATACACGCATGAAAATAAGTATTGTAAATTCTGAGGGAGATAATATAGCATAGCTTTCCTTTAAATATTTCATACTAAAGATGGCGAGGTGCTCATATGCTATGACAATGGTTTAAGGAGATTTATACTTATATTCTGAAAGTATCTCAGAAAGAGAAAAAAACTCTCACTTTAATTTATTCATTTACTGGAAACTTGTTTAATACTCTGGACAAAGTACCCCTCTGCTTAATGGTTCCACTGATGACCTTTGTGCAAGTAGCTCTAAATTGTACCACAATCAAGAGAGATCTTCCTGTAACCCAAATTTATGCCAGTCCCACACATATCTGCTTTTATCCCCATTTCTATTATTGTAACGAACTGACACTTAAAATATCAGAGGGAGAGTCATGAAACTGAAGACGTGTGAAACTTGCATCGAGTTAAAGAAATGAAGCTCACTACATTGCAAACTGTTCATATTTTCCCCCTTGGACAATGTTATGCTGTGAGTACTAAAGGAAACTTGGGAAACTGAAGATCTCATATGCCTCTTTTGTGCTGTTTTTACATACGCTCATAACTACTAATAAGAAGTGGGAACATTATACCTGCCATTTATGTGAAAGGTAAAAATATGAAATGGAAAAGTAACTGTTTAGGGTAACATACGGACATGTAAGGAAACAGGGAGAAATTAAGATACCTATAGTCAAAGTGTCAGATTCCAACACCCTGGCTCACACTGGGTACAACTTTATTCAAAAAGGAGTTTCCAGTGAAGAGATCAGGACCATTTCAGAAGTAAGCCTGCTCAAAGGAAGAGCTCTAAATCAGGAAAAGCTCCCTACTCCGGGACTAGTCTTCAAAGGGTAAAATTTGCAGGTGGTACTTGGGAAACCAAGTGCCAATTCCTCCTTGGGCTCCGGCATCCTGTGCGACTGGCCAAGACACTACCTCTGCACCTCACTTCCCCATTTATAACAGGAGGTCAGAAGGATAAGAAAAGACTGGGAGGTACTCAAGACTCAGTAATGGGGCCACAGAATTAGAAATGTGGATTTAAGTACCAAAAACATAAGCCTGGACAAGGGATATATTTGGTAGCCGTGTTGGTCTGAGACCAAAAGAAATGCAAAACTCTAGAACCCTTGGTTCAGAAACGATACC